GGGGGGTGGCTGTGCGGCCGCCACCGCCGCCCTGGGTGCAGGTTTACGGGGGATGACCGTGTGCGCCTTCCCTTAGGCACCGTGCGGGCAGGCTGGAGCTGGACCCCTGAATCCTTAGAGCAGCGCTTGTACTGACTGAGCCCAAAATGCTCAAACATGCTGTGTGTGTGTACGCAGAGAAGTCCCCTTGGGCTGAACCGCGGTTTGGCGTGTGTAGATGAGCTGGTCCCTGTGACCACCGCTGCAAACTTGGTGATCCGTCCCGGGTTTCAGAGCCTGCTGTCCCTTTAATGTCTGGTTTGACAGCTTTGGGTGAGGAAGCACTTCCAACAGCTGTCTTCTTGGCAGTGCACCAAGCGCCGGCTTAAAGGGTCCCCGGCTGGAGCAGCTTCACCTTCTGCCTCAGAACAAACCCAGCGATTGTTTCATTTTCCGGCTGCTTTTCTACCAAGCAGGGGCTATGTTGTGGCTCTGTGCTTGCCTTTTGTGCCACAACTCGACGATTCCATTCAAACTACATACATTCTGTCTAAAAATTCTTTTCTGCCTCTGTGATTGTGTGGGTGGTAGCCCCATTTTGATTGAAAATTAGATGTGTTTAAAAAAACCCATCTCATCAAACTTACTAAGCTTTCAGAAATCCCTGTTCTTTGCTGATTTCATGTGTATTACATACTTTTACAGATCTATGCAGATGGTGGGTGCACCCCGGTTTTGCCATCACTTTCATTACTGCTTTTACTGGATATATATTTTGTCAATAAATACTGATACTAGTAATCAAGGTATTTTCAGGGAGAATAATGTCTGTTTTATTTTTTGTCCTTTTATTACCAGAAGATGATGAAGATGAGGAGGAAGAGGATGAAGAAGAAGAAATAGATGTTGTTACAGTGGAGAAAAGACGCTCCTCTACCAACAAGTCTGTTACCACCCTCACTATTACAGTGCGTCCTAAGAATACCATTTTCTCATCAGTCAGGACACAGCAGAATGGACTCATACTAAAGCGTTGTGCCCCAATTCACCAGCAGCATAATTATGCCGCTCCTTCTCCATTCGTGGAGACTGAAGAGTCTCCACCACAGAAGAAGTTAAAAGTCGAGGTGCCCCGTCCAGTAAAACCCACGATCCAACCAAAGCTTAAGAGTTCAAGTCCTCGAAACTCTGATTCAGAGGACAGTGAACGTCGACGCAACCATAATATCCTGGAGCGTCAACGACGTAATGATCTACGGTCAAGTTTCCTCACTTTAAGGGACCATGTTCCAGAACTGGTTCAAAATGAGAAAGCTGCAAAAGTTGTGATCTTGAAAAAAGCCACTGAGTATGTTCATTCTCTTCAGGCAGAGGAGCAGAAGTTACTGCTAGAAAAGGAAAAATTGCAAGCCAGACAAGAACAATTACTAAAGAAAATAGATTACAAGCGGACTTGCTAAACTTTTTTGTTTTGTTTTGGTGTTTTTTTCTGGCTGATCAGGACAGTCATTGCCACTTTGCACATTTTTGATTCTTTATTAAAAAATTGTGTTTTTTGACGTTAAGAATGTTGGTTTTAATTTCAATCCAGTCCCTGAAGTAATCGACAGACTATATTATCCGGGTACGGAGCAAATGATTTTTCTTGCAAGGAGTTTATTGCAAGACTACCAAACAACAATGGACTGCCTTTGTTTTTTCTCCTTAAGAACTGTAGATGGTGGGGATTTTTTTTTTAAGTGTTGTGAGCATTTGGAGCTGCTGATGACATCTAGTTGAGTTTTAAAATGTTCATTCCTAAGTTTTATGGTGCTTATGTTCTAACAGATGTTACTTTAGGGGTTGGCATTTTGTGCCCCTGTGGGAATTTCTGTAAATACCATCTACACACTTGCCTTTTGTACATGTCTTGGGTTATGAGAGGTGGCTTTTGCTGCCAGTATTAGACTGGAAGTTCATACCTAAGTACTGTAATGCCTCAATGTTTGAGGAGCATGTTTTTGTATACAAATATATTGTTAATCTCTGTTATGTACTGTACTAATTCTTACATTGCCTGTATACTTTAGTATGATGCTGATACATAACTAAATTTGATACTTATATTTTCGTATGAAAATGAGTTGTGAAAGTTTTGAGTAGATATTACTTTATCACTTTTTTGAACTAAGAAACTTTTGTAAAGAAATTTACTATATATGCCTTTTCCTAGCCTGTTTCTTCCAGTTAATGTATTTGTTAATGTTTGGTGCATAGAACTGGGTAACTGCAAAGTTCTGTGTTTAATTTCTTCCAATGATGTACATTTAGTGCTGCGTCTTATAGCACTTTGAAATACCTCATGTTTATGAAATAAATAGCAATTACATGATGTGCCATTTACTATTTTTCTTTTGAATAAAATCTTTAACTGCAGTATTGATGAAATACAAAAATCATGGTCCCATACCCTTGGCACTTCAACTGTCAGACTGTAGGTGACACTACAAAGGTCAGCTGGGCAGGACATTTCTGTTTCTGGTTAAATAATAATTGTAGTAAGAAGTATGTTCCTGTTATTTCATACTTGTCTTGTCAGGATTATCCCAGGGGAACAGATTTACCACACTAATGGAATGATTCCTGTGTCTTGCAAAGACTCCTCAAATATCTACTGGGCCCAGAGAATTGTGAAGGATCACAAACATGGCTAGCAAACTTATGCTAAGGGATTGGCCTCTGTGGCACACTGGTGCAGTAAATGATGGAGGCAGACTTGCCAAGGCATAGGAAATTAAATATTGTAATAAACAAAGATCTTAACTTGGCTGCAGTTCTTTGCATTAGGAAAGCCTCAAAGCTGTCCATCATTGCGCTGTAGAATTAATGTTCTTGTTTGTAGCTGAAGGTCCTGTTTGTTACTGCATTAGTTAGTAAAATTGAAAATATCAGGGAAGATGCAGAGCCATGGAGTGTATATCAGATGAAGATGGAACTTGGTTGTCTCTGGAGCTGACTTTTGGTATGACAGGAATAAGACACTTTATGCAATCTGTTTGGTGATTGTATTAAAGACCATGAGACCGGGTGTTTTACTTTATAGTCTCTACAGGTATTTTTGACACAGGTATTTTCCTCACACTGAATCTGAAAAAGAAAAGGTAGGAATTAATGACCAAATGGCTAGAACTTTCCAGATCCACTTGCAAGAAGCTCACCTGTCACATCTGCTCCTGCTTTAGCCAGGAAGGAAGTAGCTTGTCTGTTGATGGAGGTACAGAAATCCTGTATTTCCTATGAGGTAACAGGAAGAGCAATGTGGGGGCAAACACCCCCCACTTAATGGATGTGCCATATGTCTGTCCCTACAGGTTGTTGATGCACTCATAACCTATGTGCTCTTGGGGCCCAGGCAGCTTCTGTACCATGACCACCAAGAACTGTACATGATCAGTGCAGTAAATCCAGATCTTCAACAGGGGTAAATTGGTGTAACACTGTGGATTCAGCTAGGCCTACACAAGCATTTGAAGAGCTGGGCTGAGTAAAGATCTAAATTCAGACCCAACCATAGTTGTTCCATATATAGAATCTTTAGAATCTTTGTTTTGATTCCCTTGACACGCTTCTTCCACTTTCCAGCTGCAGCAATAAAACAGTAGACAGAGACAATTGGTGTGAACAATTACAGCGTACATTTAGTTTTACTAAAACAATTTTTAGCCCTCTTTTTTTAGCAATTTCTGTTGAACTCCTGTTGCACTGTTTTCAAACAAGCTATGCATCAAATGAGTATTCTTGAGGACATAAAGTCCCTTCCCATTCTCCTTCTCCTTTCCTTTCTTCACACTCGTGGAGAACTTTGGTCCAAATCCTCCACTCAGAGTGAACTCAGGGTCAGATCAGGTTGCTCAGGGTCATGCAACCAAGGCTTGAATATCTTAAAGGATTGAGATTCCACAGCCTCTTTGGACAACACGTGTTTTTTGCCTACCACGACTGATTCAAATTTTTGTACTACCTGAAATTTTCCTGGTTGCAATCCTTGTCCATTGCCTCTTGTTGAACCTCCTGGAAGGGTCTAGTTGCACCTTGTCTGTAACCTCCCAGCAGGGAGTTGAAGACAGCAGTTACTTCCTTCTCTTCTTGGGATAACCCAGTTCTGTCTTGTCTTGTGGTAACCAAGCATTTAGAGTATAATAAAGGTATCAAATACTCAGATTTGTTTGGCTATTCAACACAAATCCCAGCTGAAAGCCTCTATTTCTCACTATATAATGTGGGAGTTTTGGTCTGATTCTTTAGAATTCAGTGATAAACGTCCAACTGATGTCTGTGAAGACAGAATCTAGTGCCATAATGTTCCCATACACTGTACCATTTGCCTGCTTCTCTGTGCTGCACTAGCAGTACTTTAGCATTGTCTTTTTTTTTTTTTTTGCTTTTTCTTTTTTAAAATAAGGAGTTGATAGTTTGTTTTCATAGCATCACTGTAGGGATTAAGTTGTCAAGGTCAAATATTTCTGGTAAAAAAAATCTCAGTTGTAGGATGTTAATAAAGTTACAGTTGTTAACTAGAAGGTTTCTTTTGTAGTTACATGATAAAAAGAATTGAGAGTTGAAGGAAAGACAGCTTTTGGAAAGAAGTGAGCAATTAATTGTGTAATATTTTCTGGAGAATCAGTACAGTATCCAGAAGGCTGCATAGAGAAGGACATAGGATCATAGCTGCAGCCATTACAAAAAATCCTTTTGCAAGTGTATCTAGAGTGGGGAGTCCATAAGGACTCAGTCAAATAATTAATTGAGACACTATTGCCTTTTGTTTTTTTTTAAATACATACCTATATTTGCATAACAAATGCAAAAATATCTGTCTGGAGAATCATATGTGGCAAGTACCTAACAGCTGCTTATTACAAAGCAGATATTGCTGATTCCTGAAAGGAGAACTGAATTAAGTTGATCTCAGCCTTATTGGATCTTCTATAAAATTGCCAAGTTCCTTTTCATACAAGAGAGAATTTGCTGATAGTTTTCTCCAAAATCACATATCCCAGAGGATGCTCTCCTTCCCTCCTTCTGTTTATTTTCTTAAAAATACCACTAAGAACACAAGGGACTTGTAACACTGAAATGAAATGATTCCTCCATAAATTAGTAGAAGTGAAACACCAGTGGGAGACCTTAAAAAGGTGAAATGTGTTAATGGTGTCATTACCACTCGGTCACCTGTTGCCATGAGTGCTAAGGAAAGTGCATTTCTCAAACCCTGAGCTGCTGTTATAGCAACTTATCACCAGGTCTTGACAGGACTCCTTGAGAGATCCTGAAATATATAATTTACAGTTTACTCCTGGGAAGTATACTGATAAACCAAGCTAGAATAAAATTACTTCAAATGGGTGACATTCTTAAGCTTGAATTTCCTGGCTTCTGGCTGGTTTATATCAGAGGATGTAATTTGATTTAGAATATTAATTTTGAGATAATTAGTGAATTTTTAATGTACAACTGCCAAATGCTATATGATCTGTACCTGGGTTACTTTATTCTCCTTGTGTCAATCTCCCATTTCCCATTTCCCTTTTCCCTTCCCTGTCTCTTTTTCTCAGGAACACAAAGCCATCAAACTTAAAGGGACTTGAGCACAGCACACAAAGCTTTTGAATTAAGCAGGGATGTCAGCAGAAACAGGAGATACACAACACTTCCAGAAATCTCAGAGGAAAGCAGTGGTGCAAAACGCAGAACAGAAGCTGATTGTGGAGCCAGCATGGTGAGTTTTGCCTCAGCACTTCTGGCTGCTCCTGGAGCACTGACAAGCCTGAATTCAGAGCCCTTGGTCTGTTCCAAGACAAGCTTTCACTTCTGCTGAACTACCTGTCTAATTTGCTGCCCTACAGTAGTTTTTTGCTGCCTATCTGCCTTTACTGACCCTGCAATGAAGCTTGGCCACCGTAAACCAGATGTTTTGCTGCTGGGTTGTTTGACGTGATAATTCCTGCTGCCTGCAGATCTTTGGTTCTCATCCAGCTTTGTGCCCTTACTGGCCAGATCCTTCTCTTGATGAGATTTTGATATTTTTGCACAACAGTCAACTTGGAGAAGGTAAAATGACCTTTTGATGTCTGAACCATGGAGGTTCCTTATATATGTGCTGGATGAATAGATTAACATACATGCTGTGTGCACACAAGGGATTCCATAAGTGTTGATCCATGAGCCCTGCTAAATAAAGCCTAGTGTATATTTTAACTGAGTAAGTTACAAGGCTGTCCACTTGGCCCTTTGAAGAAAAAGCAAACAAAGACATTTTGTTTCCTGTATTTATGATCACAGTATGACACACCTAAATAATGCAGAAATTAAAAATAAGCATCTACAGTGTAATCATAAATAATGGCAAGTATTTTTTAACTCCATGGTGAAATGGAGGGGTGTGTAGACTTATCAGACTTAAAATTTATCAAACTTCTAACGGAATTATGACCTATTTGTTGCTGATCTCTGAATTGTTGCATTTTGTATGCATGATCATTGTTAGGCTCCATATATGCTATTATGGCTGCTCTGTTTGTGAGCTATGTCATTTGCCATCACATAGTGTTTCCATCTGACATTATTTAGATAAGTGGGGACATTTTCATTTTATGATAAAATAAGATTATTTAATTTTTCTTATTCTGTGCTCCCAATTTCTCAAAGTTATTTTTCTGCTTTAAGTGTTTACTGCTTTCTCTTTGCTTTCTGTCTTCTGTACTGCACGCATTTAGGGAGAGGAACTCTCTTCCATGTTATCTATCTGAAGCCAAGTTAGATTGTCCTGTGAGTGGCTGTATCAATCATAAAACTATAGCAAGAGTCCTGTTGTCTAACAGCTACATAGAGCTTAGTTTTATATTAGGGGTAGGATGAGTCATGCTGTCTACATCTGTCTAGTTTCACCCTCTAATCTACGAGCTTTACAAGCATTACAGAGTTTTAAGCAACTAGCTGCTTAGCTTCCTAATTCTCCTTATGTAGTCAGCAGAGAGATGCAGGCTCTTCCCAGAGCACAGTCCAGAGCATCTGCATTGGGCTTTACCTGGAACAGGCCCAAGCACTGCTCTGTACCTTGAGGAAAGAGTGATTACAGCATGCAAGGTGTGATTACGGGAACTGGGCTAAGGGCTGCTTCATTGCTGCTGGGTAACCAGGTTACTTGATCTCTTGCTGATCTCACTTACCATATGAAATTTAAAGCAATGATTTGGAGAAAACTGCAGGCTAATAGATGCTTTATTTAGAATAAAACATTGCATGAATGTAGGATAGTTAATTTAATCGGCATAGTTGGTTTATTTGCAATTAAATAAAATATTTCAATGGCACTTATCTCCATTTCACTTCCTAAC